TGAAATAACATAATACGTTCGTCGTCTATTTAATAGGCCGAATAGCAGAAAACTGCTGATGTTGTTAGTGAAATAAATTAATTCCTATCAACTTGGGCTTTGGATAGGTCAATTATACAAATTTTGTATTATAAAATTATCTTATCGATCTTGACAGAGCAAATCAAATTCGTTCTGTAATTATATAGAATTTTTTTTAGAAATAATTTGGTATTAATTTTGTACAAATACATTCCAACAGTTATACAAATTTTGTATGATACAATTATATGGAACGGTTTTTGGAAATTATTTGGCAGTAATTTTGTGCGAATAAAATGGACTTTTTCAACTATTTGCACCTTTATCTGTTTCCAGTATTTAAGTATAATAATATCTAGAAATCTTGAATGCTTGCAACAGCTGACATTTTCTGTAGAATTTTACCCACATCATTTTATACTTACAACACATGAGTTAAATTTTGTACTGTGGGAGGATATAGAGGGAACAGGACGTTGTCAGGAGTCCGAAAATAAAACACCTTCCACTCTTAATAACTGTGATATATTTAAATAAACCATATAGTATACTCGTAGGGCGCGCGTGGGTGTTCGTGACAATCCTCGTCAAAGTCTTCGCTGTAACTGACTTTTTGCTATTTGGCCGCGAGGCTCGTTGTTCGATGGCCTGGCCTGCTTGGCCTTGCCATCCCTTCACCGCTTTCCCTTTCTTCAGTAAGGAACAAAACGGCCTACGTCATAGGCACAATGGTTTTTCCCGTGCCCTGTCTTTTCCAGGTTAAAAAAGCCCGTTAGCCTCCGACAGTATTGATATTAAATTTTTTCGTTGTGTACTTCAATTCATTATACTTGTAAAAATAATAAGAAGCATAGAAACAAATTCATTGCGACGGAAAATTATTCTGCACTATTTCACAGAAGAAACATCGGCTGAATATTTGTTTTTCTCAACCTGTCTAAAGCATGACGGACCAATTCATCGAGTGATTAAATTACCAATAACGTCTAGTTCAGACTCGCCATCCTATCTCTATTTATCCCATCGTGTGAAGTGTCTATTATACGCATATCTTTCCCTGACACATTTACATCACCCATAATCCCTCTAACGACTCGTTAAATCGCCAATAACGCCTCGAAGATCTCACTGACGGGTTCGATTTATCGCGCAATATCTATCCTCAGGTTATTTTTAGCTGACCCGTTTGGACTATACAAACGTTACTCGTGACAGGAACATAAGGGAAATAGAATATCTTCCGAAACGCCGCCAGAAAGGAATATTTATTTATCTAAAAAAATTTTGATTTTTTAATTTTATTTTTGCTACACATCATCTTCCGAACAATTCATGTATTCTTCTATCTTTTGGAAAATTCTTGTTCTATTTCGAAGAAAATCTTAATGTAAAATTAGAGAAAGATAGGATAAATAATAGAAACGAAATGGAAAGACGGTTCTCTTCAAATTCTCATTTTTATCAATAGAATCAATGAAACGGAAGCTTCGTAGAGGGCCGTCTCAATTTCTAAATATAGTAATTCCCGTCTTGCTTCAAGTATTTCTTATATTTTAGCACATCAAGTACATTCTGTAATTTTTCGAAAATTTAAATTTCCTATATATTCATCAATATCCGCAGCCTGTTTACAATGAATTCGTCTGGAAGTGCAGAAACGTATGCTTCATGAAGTATTTCTCGACACTCTGTACCGTCGAACAAGTAACACGGTGAACCTATACACGCGTTCACTGCCAATATCCGGTCGGTGTAACATTCGCGACCATGAATCACCGTTCCAGCCAGCATCGCCTCTCCGATTTCATTACACCGTCCCGGGAGGATGCTCGAAAACAGCGAAAAAATCCGATTACACAAACCACATCTTCCGTCTAATTAATATGCGTCGCGGCGGTGTCTTCATTAAGCAGTCGCGGCACGCATGAATCACGATAATCGCGCTCGAGCTGCGCCCTGCACCATATTCGTACGAACGGTTCTCTTCTTACCTCGTCGCATTTCCCTGTGTTTCTGCAGTCCGTGGTAACGCGATTTGCATCCAACTGCAATTAAGACACGGCGAGGAAACACCGAACCGTCACACGGGTGCTCGTGAGACCCGGAATCCAACGTACCTCCGATTAGGTATGACAAGAACCTCGAGAGACGAGTGACTCAACTTTCGAAACCAAAAAAAATTCTGAAAAATACTGATTTCTTGTCTTATATATTTTTAAATCATTATTTTATGTTGGTGAAGTATCTAAGATCGACGTAGAATCGCAATAGAAAATTCCTGAAAATGTTTATCCCTAGCAATATATTTTTAAAACATTATTTATTAACGATAAAATATCTAAGATTGACGTAGAATCGATAGCATATGTTTATGCCCTTCATGTTATACTGCAAAGGTTTTTTTTAAGCACAGTGGTACAATTACGTACGAAAATAATTTTATTCATTATTTATTTAGTATACCAGTAAAGTCAAAGGTAGTATTCACCTTCGGTCTTAGAAAAAAAACAACGAATTAATTTAAAACTCTTAAAGTTCCTGGGATATGGAAGATGTCTTGAAAGGAGACAATACGACGTTCGAAACTGGTACGTTCGATCATGTTTTATTCATTAGAAATATTTCTTTATATTAGATTTACTTTAATAGAAGCCAGATTTGCTAAGAGATTACTCTTTCATGTTTCTTAACACACAAAACTAGTGACAGTTCTTGTGAAACAGGGACTTGGACAGATGATTCCTGACATAATCCTAAAGAGACTATACCGAAACTTCTTGCACTCGCCACTAGAGGGTTGCTTTCAATCTTTTTCTCTCGCAAATGCTCGATCGGCCACCTGTTCGTATTATATGCATTCATCGACCCACCATTTGATATCCCGGCGTCTCAGACAGAAAGTCCAGTTACCAGTCAAAAATTCCTAAAAATATGCTATTTATTCCTAGTAAAATATTGTCAAAAAATGAATTGTAGTCGATTAAGTATCAAGGTTCGTTTTTAGAACGTAGTAATACAACTACGTACAGAAATAATATTAAAAGGAATTCTTTGAAGCTTCTCCGTGTCCTATGATAAACATCTAGAACGAAAACCACTAAACAAGAACAATAATATAACGTGTCCGAATTTACATTTGATCCTGTTTTATTAGTAACAAATATTTATCCGGCTAATCTACTATGTCGAATCCGTGCTAGAACGTGTCGTACCATATGGCTTTTCATTGCTCATTTTCAATCTGCTTTCGTAAATAGAATCTTGTGCACGGAAATGATTAATCCACGGTATATTTAATAAACAAACAAAATGAAATGGTAACGCGCAGAGTAGTGTGTGGAGCGGCTATAAACTTCCGTAGCTAGAGGGTTAAAAGACGTGAACACTTTGTAGGATGCAATATGAAACCGATAAAGGCTGGAATGAATATTCATAAACAACGATAGCTCCGAATCGAAGTGCCTTCGGCGATCGCGACGCGCTGCCATTCGCGACAGAAAGCATTTAGACGGTCGTGAAATTATTCTGACCTCGTTTATGGGAGACGAGTTAAGATGGCCATCGGAGCGTGGATAAATTATACGCTCGCGGAGTTCATATTTCTCGCGGACGGTAACAAGAATAAATTTCGAGCGGATAATTTTCCGCGCGCGATTTTATCGGACGCGCCCGATAAACCTAACCGGGGCAGATGGAATTCAATTTTACTCTTATCGATGCCCGTTTATTGAAACGAGACCAGAGGCCGAGCGCGTCACTTTTTCCGATACTTTATCGTCGTTCTTGGGACAGAGGAATGAAACAAAATGCGAACGACTGTTCGTCCTCTTTCTTGATTATTATTGTTCAGGGTCGGTACAGCGAGCGGGTTTATGATACGTACGTGACTTTACGCTATTTTTGAGGATTAGGCCTTCAAGACATTTTTACTTGATAAATTAGGATATGGTCGTTAAGGAATCTCCAAACTCTACACGGGACTTGGAATCCTTGGAGCTCTTCCTTGCCTCAATAGCGATTGACGTATCGTAAACCCGCGTTGGCGCACAGCTGCGGACCACCGGGGTCTCGCGGTCGTTGGGTATTTCCCAAAAAATTAATAACAACGCAGCGTTCTCGCTCACTCCTGCATGGTCTACCTGGACACTGGACGGCAGGGTGGGCGGGAATGTTGCTAATTGTTAGGAACCGCCCTGCCAAGGTGACGACGATGAGAATTGGTTTGACCAATCCTCCCTCCGGTAGGCAATGTTCGTCGTTGTCACCTTGGCAGGGGAAACCGAGGCTTCCTTATGGGAAAATTCAGGACTTTTCGTCAGATTACTCTTGGACAAGTAACTTGATCACTAGTTAGTCTTCGCACGAAGACATTCTGCGTATCAGAAGCACCAGCTTTTGAGTGTTCAACTAAGGGTTAGGAGCACAGAGTGGCTGTGCGATAAGCACGACCACGATCAACGACTGTTCTACCAGAAGAATTGTTCGTGGCCGAAACATTGGTCCTTCGAGCCGGATCTCGTGAATCAGATCCTAGGAACGGTAGTGGGTGACTGTGGTTGGTGAAGGGAAGCTGAGAGCAGGACACAGGGATCTCCATCCAGCAGCCGACCAACATCACAGACAACATCTCCAATAATATTGGAGCAATCAAGGAAACGGAGCCATCAGTGGACGCTGATATCGTCGTCGGGAAGGCGACAGTTCCAGCATCCAGGTTTCGAGACGTGTCATCGGGACAACGTCAGCAAGGAGCTGACCAACAGCGTGGGCAGGCCACGTTGGTGCAGCATCCGAACGGGAGGACAAACGTGATCAACGGGACTGCTGTTCAGAGTCAACGTTGGAGGAATCGGCGTTAAAGGGTTTCCTGCGTAACATCAGCGGGAATTGGGTCTGCATCGCATCGCCGAATTACGAAGTCATCCTCTAAGTAAGTCCTTTCCACTTTCACATTCGACTTGCGTGATTAGAACCTCGCCATGGATAGCGAACTAAAAACGTTGATTGCTGAGCGCGGTATACTAAAGGCGTCACTCACGCGTTTAAAGCGGTTTTTCACGGAATCGGCGGGTGTTACACCGATAGGTGCGCTCCAGAAGCGCTTAGATGCGAATGTCGGATTGTACGACAATTTCAATAAAATACAAAATAGGATAGAGCTGTTAGTGTCGGGTACAGATCTAGAAGGGGCACATGAAACCTTCAGGGAAAAATTCGAAGAGACGTATTTCAATTTAATAGCCGAAATCGAGTCGCACATTCTGGCTTCACGTTCGTCTCAACGACAACAACCTTCTGCGAGTCCAGCGGTAACGGATGGGTCGAATCAAGTACACGTAAAATTGCCGACAATCCAAATTCCACATTTTGACGGGAAATACAATGACTGGATCAAATTTCGCGATACGTTCATGTCATTAATACATGAAAATGAGTCACTGTCGGACCTGCAGAAGTATCACTATTTAAATTCGGTATTGCAAGGCTCTGCAGCACGCGTCATCGAAGCGTTAGGGATATCCGAGGCGAATTATAGGGTAGCCTGGGACGCGTTGGTGACACGATACCAAGACTCGACGGCGTTATTAAGGCACCACGTGCACGCCTTACTGGACATTGCACCAGTTAAAAAATTTTCCGCGAGCGCATTGAGGGATTATCTGGATGACGCGAAAAATCATTTACTGGCACTAAAATCGCTGGGGGAGCCTGTCGAGAAATGGGATAAGCTAATTGTTCCTTTACTATCCAGAAAACTGGATGTAGTTTCCGCCCGAGAATGGGAAAAACGGGTAATATCTGCTGAAAATATTACGTTCAACCATTTCGCGGATTTTTTAGAGGAACGGTCGAAGTATTTAGAAAATACAACGACGCCAGCTCAGGTAGTGTCCGAAAGGGTCGAGCGACGGTTACAGCCCTCAGGTAGTAGAAGATATGAGAAGGTCACCGCGCACGTAGCTAGCACCTTTTCTCAGTGCTCAGCATGTCAGGGCAGTCATGCATTATATAAATGTGACAAATTCAAAAAATTAGATATACGGGGAAAAAGAGATATAGTTTTCAACCACCACAGATGCTATAATTGCCTGGAAACAGGACACTTGGTACAAAATTGCACTCGAAAGGGTTGCTCTATTTGTGGTAGAAGACACCACACCTTACTGCACGAAGATAAGTTTAAATCCATGCAAACCCAAATCGTGAACAGTCAGGAGCAGCCAATAGCGTCAACCTCTGCAACATGTGTCGCAAACCTCGCGAGCGATTCTATAGACCATACAGTACTATCAACCGCCGTAGTACACATTAAAGACAAGCAGGGCAAGAAACGGGAATGTCGGGTGCTGTTAGATTCAGGTTCTCAAACAAACTTCGTAACGACAGAATTTTGTAGAAAAATAGGTATGGTTCCAACACCAATTAAGACTACGGTTTCTGGTTTAGGGAGTACACCGAGTTTAATTAAAGGAAAAATAGAGTTAAACCTGTTCTCTAGGTGCAATAATTTCCAGTCAACTCTATCATGTTTAACAATAGATAGAATAACGGACGATATGCCAAATCTGCCTTTGAACAAATCCAAAATTCCAGTTCCTTCAAATATAACACTTGCCGACCCATATTTTAATAAATGCACAAAAATCGAAGCACTTCTCGGGGCGAGCGTATTCTGGAAACTCTTGTGTGTCGGACAACACAAGGCGGGGCCCGAGTTAATTTGGCAAAAGACGCTACTCGGGTGGGTATTAGGGGGAAGGTTGACCTGGCCGGTGGAAAATAGGTCTACATTGAACAGGTGTAACTTAGTAACCAACATAGAGCTACTGGGACAGGTAGAAAGGTTTTGGAAATTAGAGGAAACAGCCATTCAGAAACCTGACCTGTTCAATCCATGCGAACGAATGTTTACTGAATCCACGCGTCGAGATACAAGCGGCAGATTCATTGTCCGGGTACCGTTTCGCGATAACATTACCGAACTGGGAAGCTCACGGGAACAAGCTAAGCGCCGATTAATATCGTTAGAGAAAAAATTACTTAAACAACCGGATTTGCACCGACAATATGTCCAGTTTATGAAGGAGTACGAGGCTTTGGGACATATGTCTCGCATTTCCGTCCCACATGACGAAAATGAACCCTCGTACTACCTTCCACATCATGCCGTTACCAAAGAATCTAGTACGACAACGAAGGTCCGGGTCGTATTCGATGGGTCGGCGAAATCGTCGTCAGGGTTATCACTAAACGAGACGCAATGGGTCGGGCCAACGGTGCAACGCGATTTGTTTTCGATACTGGTCCGGTTTAGGCAGCATCGCTACGTTCTATCGGCCGATATAGAAAAAATGTACCGGCAGATTGTAATCGATGCGAAAGATAGGAAATTTCAAAGAATTCTATGGCGTTCCGATCAAGAGTCGCCAATAGAAACGTTCGAACTAAATACAGTGACATATGGTACAGCATCGGCACCCATTTTTAGCGACACGGGTATTAAAACAAATAGGGTTAGAATGCACACAGACATTTCCGGTAGTAAGCAACGCCATTATAGATGATTTTTATGTAGATGACCTGTTGACTGGAGCCCAAACTATTTCGGAAATCAAACGTATAAGAGAGGAAATTTCAACGGTTCTAGCGCAGGCCGGGCTTCATCTACGGAAATGGACAACGAATTGTCCAGCGATCGTTGCTAATCTAGATGCGTCATCAAGCAAAGATCTTAGCGCGGATAAAGATTCGAAAACTCTCGGTGTGCAATGGTCATCCGCAAGGGACGTACTTAGGTTTACGGTTAGGTCAACGCAGGAGAAACGCGTGACAAAGCGACTCATATTGTCAGAGATTGCGCAAATATTTGATCCCTTAGGATTGATTGGGCCAATAATTACGAGAGCAAAATTAATCATGCAGAAATTATGGCAAATCCAGGCAGGCTGGGATGAAGCAGTTCCACAAGAACTGCACACCCAATGGTTAGAATATCGATGCGAATTACATGAATTAACCGAATTAAGCATTCCGCGCTGGGTAGCAATTGAGAATCTTACAAGGGCAGAGTTACACGGGTTTTCAGACGCCTCGGAAAAGGCGTACGGGGCCTGCATATACTTACGGTCAAGGGGCGCTTCAGGTCAATGGGAAGTAAAGCTCATTTGTGCCAAATCAAGGGTCGCGCCTCTACGGGCTACCAGCCTTCCACGGTTGGAATTATGTGGGGCACTTTTATTGGCCCAATTAATGAATAAGGTGAAACAAGCACTGACTGTTCCGATTAGCGAAATAGAGTATTGGTCGGATTCCACTATTTCGATTTCATGGATTCAAAGTCCTTCGAGTAGGTGGAAAACGTTCGTGGCGAATAGAGTCGCAGAGATCCAGGAACTAACGAACGGTTCTACCTGGAGCCACGTAAAGTCCCACGATAATCCCGCAGACCTGATCTCGCGTGGGGTAGATGCCGCAACATTAGCCAATAATAACCAGTGGTGGTCAGGTCCTTCTTGGCTTTCAAGGGATCGAGAACATTGGTCTCCGTCAATAATCGAGTCGTTTGATATACCGGAGGAAAGGGGGGTAAAGCAGGTTTGCACTGCTTCAGTAAGGAATACCTTTGACATATTTAGTAAATTTTCTAGCTATTCGCGATTGCTTAGAGTAACAGCTTACTGCCTGAGGTTTGTAACAAGGTTGCGCAAAAATACAGAGGATAATAATGCAGATTATAAGGACATTACATTAACAATAGTAGAAATACGTCGAGCTGAGGAAACTCTAATTAAAATGGCACAACTGGAGATATTTTCAAGGGAACTATCCGCGTTACGAAGCAGCCAACCAGTGTCCAGGTCAAGCTGTTTGCTGTCGCTCACTCCATTTCTGGATAGTATAGGTCTAATTAGGGTGGGCGGAAGATTAAACAAGGCACCTATAGATTATTAAAAAAAAACATCCCATTATATTGCCATCGAAACATCCAATAGTCGACCTCATTATTAGGGCGGAACACATTAGGCTCTTACATGCAGGTTGTGAATCCGTAACAGCGTCGCTACGTGAAAGATACTGGCCATTGTCGTGTAGGCGAAATGTACGGCGTATTATTAGAAACTGCGTCAGGTGTTTTAGGTTTAAGTCTCAGAGCACGCAATATTTAATGGGTGATTTACCTGCGGCTCGAGTGACACCCGCTCGACCGTTCTCTACCTGCGGCATTGATTACGCGGGCCCCTTCTTAACAAAGGACAGAACTCGAAGTAAGGTAACCACGAAAGCGTATTTATGTATCTTCGTATGCTTTGCAACCAAGGCCGCACATTTAGAGTTAGCCACTGATTTGACCACTCAGGCATTCCTCAATTGTCTAAGACGATTCATTGCGCGTAGGGGACGATGTCAATGCATCGTTAGCGATAACGGTACAAACTTCATAGGGGCAAGAAATGAATTGAAGGATTTAAGGGTATTGGTAAAGAGCAATGATCATAATCGTCAGATTTCAAATTTTTTAAGCTCGGAGCGAATAGAATGGCGATTAATTCCGCCGCATGCACCACATTTTGGAGGGCTATGGGAAAGTGGAGTCAAATCCGCGAAATATCATCTAAGGCGAATAATCGGCGAACAACGTCTAACATTCGAGGAGTTATACACGCTGTTAACGCAAGTCGAATCGTGTTTGAATTCCCGACCTCTCAGTCCCATATCCTCCGATCCCTCTGATTTGAATCCCTTAACCCCAGGCCACTTCCTAATCGGCGATGCACTAACTGCCCTGCCGGAGCAGGACATTACGGATGTCAACAGTCACCGATTAGGAAGATACCAATTAATTCAGCAGATGTTTCAGAACTTCTGGAAACGCTGGCAAAGAGAATACCTGCACCAACTGCAGCAGCGTACGAAGTGGCGTACGCCTGCATCAAAGAATTTATCACTAGGTACGATGGTTCTCATCAAAGAAAACCATCTACCCCCACTTCGCTGGAGTCTGGGAAGAGTCACACAGCTCCATCAGGGCACGGATGGCGGTTTACGGGTGGTGTCGGTTAAAACTGCCGATGGAATTTTCAAGAGGCCAGTAAGCAAACTATGCATCCTACCAATGGATGAGCCAGAGATTGAAGGGTCCATGGGCAAGGGTGCAGTCAAGGGACAACAGCTAAATCACGGATCTAGTTCATAAGTACGCCGACAACATCAGTAGCTTAAGATGTATTATATTGTTGTAAATAATTTCGACACATAGTCATAGGTTTAAATGTACAACGGGTAATGACGTTACGACTAGCATTAAGTTATAAGCGAACTAGTCTCCATTAGCGTCCACCTTCGTATATATGTTGAACGTTGCACGTTCAAGGTGGGCGGCATGTTCAGGGTCGGTACAGCGAGCGGGTTTATGATACGTACGTGACTTTACGCTATTTTTGAGGATTAGGCCTTCAAGACATTTTTACTTGATAAATTAGGATATGGTCGTTAAGGAATCTCCAAACTCTACACGGGACTTGGAATCCTTGGAGCTCTTCCTTGCCTCAATAGCGATTGACGTATCGTAAACCCGCGTTGGCGCACAGCTGCGGACCACCGGGGTCTCGCGGTCGTTGGGTATTTCCCAAAAAATTAATAACAACGCAGCGTTCTCGCTCACTCCTGCATGGTCTACCTGGACACTGGACGGCAGGGTGGGCGGGAATGTTGCTAATTGTTAGGAACCGCCCTGCCAAGGTGACGACGATGAGGATTGGTTTGACCAATCCTCCCTCCGGTAGGCAATGTTCGTCGTTGTCACCTTGGCAGGGGAAACCGAGGCTTCCTTATGGGAAAATTCAGGACTTTTCGTCAGATTACTCTTGGACAAGTAACTTGATCACTAGTTAGTCTCCGCACGAAGACATTCTGCGTATCAGAAGCACCAGCTTTTGAGGGTTCAACTAAGGGTTAGGAGCACAGAGTGGCTGTGCGATAAGCACGACCACGAACAACGACTGTTCTACCAGAAGAATTGTTCGTGGCCGAAACAATTATTATTTCAGAAGATCGCCGAGGGGGGAAATGATATTCTCTGGGAAAGGAAAAAATACGGAAAGGATTTTAATCGTTTCGATTCCGCTGTAACCGTGCGGCTGTATGTTCGAAATTACCGAATCGGAATATTATTGGGATCTAGATTATGTATTAGTTCCTCTCCGTCTTGCATAAATTGTGGCAGTATGGATTTTTACGTATATTTAAAATCTTTGCAGGATTAAAATTTTTGCAGAAGAAATGGAATTGCCATTGAGAGTCGAAATAGTTAGGGAACTCTTTCAACGGATCTTCAATGAAATAAAGATATTAAAATAAAAGTTTTCATATTATAAGTTTCAATGAAAATAGTTCTAATTTGAATAAAGAAAAAATTAAAATAAAAGTTCCTGTGTATTAGAAATATTTTTTAACGATAGTCAATCTTTAAAAAATTGTAATATTTTCCGTGGAATTTTTGTTTAAAAAGAAAATTTTTTAAAAGTTCTGAAGTTAAAAATTCCTTTCTATAAAAGTACTGTAAGAAGACTGATATTTGATTAAATTGCTATGCATAAAAATACAAATAAATATATTCTTCTTGACACTTTGTAATTATTTCAGAACAAAATTTACGACTGAAATAATTTTAAAGTAGAACATCATTCCAATTAAAAATTTTTTCGATGGAAGAAATTGTTGTAGTAAAGCTGGAATAATAAATACAAAACAAGCTGAAGATTCCAATTTTAGCAGAACTCGTGCAGTTAATTCTTTCATAAGTGTTGGAACGACTGTGTAAAAAACTACTTACGCAGCCGAGTAATAAGTACCTCAGGCTTATCGACGTCCATCTACGATGTGTTTACGCATAGAATTTTTCTTTTAAAATTCTAAAGTAATCGATAGATACTCGATAATGAGATAATATTCGATTTTTCCTAACAACGAACCAGCTCCTATAATAAATTAATTCCGTAAAAAGTAATTCATGAAGAATTCCAATACAGGAACTGGAAAGTTGATTAACAAGTTTCATTGACTAGTAATAAATTGTGCGTGTGCAAGGATCCCATGGAATCACTATAGCTCGATTACGCGATGAACCTGCCGATTGAATGTAGTATTGATCGATGATTGTTAGCGTTTTTCATAATATTTCATCCTGTTCCCACTGTGCGTGTTAGCAACAGTTGTTATAACAGAAACAGAAGTTACAGATCATAAATAATAAAACAAAATATAGAATTACTTGTAGAAATGATAAAAGACTGGATCAACGTGACGGTTCCTAGATTCAAATCAGCCACTAAAGATTTACTCTCGTGTACTTGTGAGAAGAGAATGATTTTCTCCACAAATTTTCTTCTCGTTAAAAAAATTTTTCTGCTATGAAAAAAAAATTTGATACATCCTGAAGATTGCATGTTCTATCATTTTTTAACTTGAACTTTTCTCAGAAATTGCTACACGTGATCGATAGTCACAGATAATATTTAATTGTCAGAGCAACCATAATGGAAAGACACAATGGATGATATGAAATGTGTGTCTTGAATACTAGATGACTTGCAACAGTTATATCGAGTGTTAGACTAGAGAGTATGGTTTGCAATGATATTGATATCTATTATAAATCTACTATAAATATTCCTTGTCTTTTTACTAATAAAATAATCCTGATGTTTTCTTCGAAAGAATTGTTTTGGGGATATAGAAAATTGCAAATAATAGAATTGAGGATCAGTTTCTGACAAAATGATGAGTCAACCATTTTAATCACTCTTCGTATAACTTGCAACTGACTAAAAATTCCTTCACATCTTTGCACTATTCAAATGTCTCATCCACCAAAATTATGACATAAAAATTATTCTTATATAATTAATATATCTAAGGAACTTTGACCACCGAAGAATCATTCCCATTTGACCCAAAAAAAAAAAGAATAATTCCCCGGTACGCAGGGGGACCAAAGTCGCTAAAAATTTCCCCAGATACTAAATATCCTGCATCGACTCCCAAATGCTTGGATCATCGACTAACAAACGCTTCAAGCTCGGTACCCAATTATTTCAAGGCCCATTTGCTGCGAAACGTTTCGTTCCATCCGCCTAATGGTCGTGTTCGCCAACTTTTCAGCGCCGGATCCTGGGAAACGGACCTCTTCGTAGGCGGGTAACATCATCGCGACGATTTCGCGGTTGTTGACTCCGCGGGGATCGGTCGCTTATCCGCTTATCCGTGAAATCAAAGGCCTCGTGAGGCGGCCCTCGAGGACATATCTTGTCCGGAAATCATCCGTCGCTGGTGCGAGCATTATCAGTCGTTTCTGAAAAAGGTAGTGGCGGGGGAAGAGGAGCAAGCAACGAGAGACGGATAAGATATGCGAGTGGCTTCTTCGTCTCACGGCAGATAGCGACCGCGCATTTATTTGCACGCCGGATGCGTGGACTTCCCGTGTCACTCGATTTCTACTCATTTTGCAAACGAGAGGCAAATCCACGTCTTCCTGCGAAGGCACGCGCACGCGGTCAACTGCACGAGCCTCTTCTATTGTCAGATCAGACGATTTCTTTTCCGAGAAACGCTCCAGATGCTCAGCGACGGATCTACGGAGCGATCGGTCCGCAACCGCTCGCGAGAAACTCTCAAGTGATGCGTCCAACGCTGGATCTACGGTCATCGATTCGACATATTTTTATCGAAACGGTTACATTAAAATGCGTGTCTTTTTAAAACTAGGATATGTACTCGTATCATTGCATCAACAAAAACGCTGATGAGTAATAATATTTATAAATTTTACAACTCTAAATATAGAATATAAACACTTCCATAGCTAGTGAAAATTTCGTACGATAATGTGTGTAGTTATAACCTCTTAAATTAAAATAAAAGCTGTTATTGACTTTTGAAATAGGCATAAATGTTGCATACTGTTGCAAAACCGCAGCGAAAGTCACTATTATTCAAATACAAATACGAATAATTGCCTTTCAGTCTAACAATGTTTCAAGAAGTCTTTCTAATTATAATCCTCAATTTTTAAAAAATAAAATAGATTTGTTTAAACAGTTAGAGTCCTCTGAAAATGGTAAGGTGCTCGATTAGAGAAACTAGTGAGTGTCTTTCAAAGGAAAAGTTCTATTATTAGTTGAATGTGACTATGCTCTCACGCCGCACCCAGCACAACAAACAGGTGTATAAAACGAAAGAAAAGAGAAGATGAAACTGGAGCAGCATTCCAAGTATTTAACTGTTCCCAAACGTTTCTTTGAGAACGGACAATGTATGTAGGTACCCATACATGCCTAGAAATGGCGTTCGTTGGCCAAAAGAGAGCGCAAATTGTTCGCCAGAATTCCTGGGGGCAAAGTTGACTCGCGCGTCTCTTTCCTCGCTCGCGGTCAGGTAAACTACCGTTCTCAAAAGGCACTTACTATTATTTGCTCCGGCAAAACGGTTTGTTCGATCTATATTTACGACTTTCATGCAGCCTTAATCAGATAAACTTGTATTTTCAGATACTTTTAATATTAATTTTTGAGTATTCGATGGTTTGTGACGTTCTGGTAGATGTTCTTAAGCAAACGAACTTGTACATCAGTTTCAATATTAATTCTGAGATAGGTTTTAATCATTTTAGGCGATTCTCTGACGAGAGTTTTAATGACCTATCAAGCAATCTCATTTTAAAAATAATACAGTGACTAACAAAAAATACATAGTAAATAGTAGTAGAATGAGATTTCAGGAGAAAACATTAATCGAAAACATGGAACAAAATATTTTTCTACGAGGCTTAGTTCTCGAGAAAATCAACTTCAAACTTGCGTGGCGCACCATAAGTAGAAACAGCGAGCAATGACCGGACGCGCCAAACGACTGGGGCGCCCACCAAACTTTAATATCGTTTATCTACCAAACGATGCATTGGACAACAAAATCTCGTTCCACGTTTTCGATTTATTTTCTCACGTACCATCGAACCACTGACAAAAAAATTCATAAAACTCGCCTACTTTCCGTGACTCGAAACTTTTGGTCGATAGTGTACGAGTACCTGTGCACGCGTAACCGCGTTCGAGGTAGCGAAAGAACGGTCAGGTTCGCCCGGAATTCCGCAGGCAAAGTTCGCTCGTCTATTTCTTTCCAGGCTCGCGGGAGAGGCGA